TTTCACTTTGTCAGAGTAGCAGTTTTTCCGTTATTGGGTAGCGCTCCAACACATTGTTCGTGATAGGCTAAGGGGCGGGACATTTCTAAGTGGCTGACCAATCACAACAGAGCCGGCCAGCTAACCAATCAGAGCAGACTGGGCTCTGGTTTCAGGCAGAGGGTGAAAAGAGGTGCTGCAGCACAGGCAGTATGAGAACAATAACGACCTTTTTGAACATTAAAGTATGCAGACATGTCCCAGTAGAGACACAAATACACATATGAACCTGAAAATGTTTGATATAATGTGTCTTCTTTAAATCAGATTTGATGCGGCTGAAATTCGATCTGACTTCTACATCGATCCGATATGATTTGTTGATTATGTCTGAATTATTGTTTGAGTTCCCTCCAGTTGTATTTCACAGTGGAGCTCATGACTTCCCCCTCTTTAATCCAGGACCAGCTGAGCAGGTTGGATGCAGAGAAATTACACGCTGACAGACATGGTCCAAAATGTGGTGAAGAAGATGAGGAGGAGGACGATGATTACTACGAGGAAGAGGAAGAAGAGGATGAGTTGCCCATGGTAAGTTTCCTACTGAGACTTATCCCATTAGCTCTCTGGATTTAGTGCTGCAGGGCGAACAGACTTTTGGACGCCAACCCAGGAGGTTAACTCTGTCCTGCTTCCATAGTAGACTAAAAGCCAATGGGATGTTTCCAGCTTATTTTTATTTTATATGAGAATAAGTATGCTTAAAACCTGAGTGATATTCTTTGTGTCACAGCTGAAGCTTGCATTATATTTACTTTACTTACTAAGGAGTTTGTTGACGGCACTTGTTTCTTTGGAATATCCTACTTTCAATCAAATATCAATCTAACGTTGGTGATTATGTCATTCTTTATATAGCCTTCCTACCAACATTTTCAAGCTCAATTTTAAACACAGACAATATTTCAACAGAATTTCTCCCATTTGTCTGGTCCATTGAAATCTTCCTGGACTGTCACCCAGATTTTTAACAGAAACGCTGTCTTTGCACTTCAGCACTTTATAATATAATACTGCCAATGTGTACTTAATTCTTCTGTGTTGCTCTCTGCAGATCACACAGATCTTCAGTATGGCCGACAGCCAGGTGAGCAGCGGTGTGGACATTGAGAACCAGCTGATGAAGCTGCTCCAGGCTCTGCGCTCCACCGTCATGCCCATCCTGTGGTACGCCATCTTGGTGAACGGCCCTCAGCTGCAGATCATCCAGTGCTCCAAACAGTCCAACCTGACGGACGCCATCGTGCTCATCGACCCGGGCTTCTGCTATCAGGTCACGGTCCAGAAGCAGCCGCTGCTCCCAACTCACCCGCTGTACGACAAATACCCCGCGCATCTCACCTCTGCGACCGAGGTGGTCAACCTGCTGCTGGGCCTGGAGGATTACGTGGTGTGCCAGGGACTCCCCCCCAAAGACCCTCTATTAAGGACAGGCCCTATCATACTGGAGCGGGCGTCAACCTGTGATTTCTTGGTGAAGAAGAAGGTGAGCATCTGTTTAAACTGCAGAGCGCTGCAAGGACTTTAACTGGAGCAGAGACAGAGGGTCTTTGTCAGGTCTCTGGTGCAACTTTGTGGTTTTTTGCTTACCGGCATTGATAATATATATATATATATATATATATATATATATATATGGTATTTTTACAGATTTACCTCTGGACTTTAACACGATTAGTTGATTTTGTTTTCTAAGAATCACCAAAGGTATTCCACAACATTGTAATCCAGGCACTTTTTTTCTCACGTCTTCCGTTTTGTTGGTTTTTGTTAGGATTTGCAACGGGTCGAGCTGAAATCCACTAGCTTGCCCTGTGGTTAGCCTGCTGTTAGCCTGCTGTGAGTTGATTCACACCCTTCCTTGAGGAACCAATAACCCTCACTCCATCTCCATTAATACACTTTTGATTAGTTATTTAACTCCTAAATATTGTCCCTCTCAGCCCAAAAATAAAGCTGGAGTTCTTAGCAATGCCCCCTCTTTTATCTCTTCACCAGCAGTACTGACAACCGTGTCGACACCATTGGTCACGTCTACCAGATCTAATGGATTTACCCAGCAGCCTCAAGTCTTCTGGACAAAACAAGTTATGCTCTTGTTTTTATTATATCTAGGCCAATACATCAGTTCCAGTTATTTTCTTGATTTGACTTGTTTTTAAATGCATGCAGTTTATGAAGTCATCTTCACTTCTGGCACTAACTTGAGGCTAACCCTCCTAGTTTTACACGCATATGCCTCAAAGGACGATGGCAGGAATATACGTTTTATTGATTGATGATTTTATTAGACAGATTACGTTCATGTATTCACTTTTGTTTTTACCTTATCTGTTTTTAATTTAATCAAATCAACTTCAAAACACCTTTTCCGTTAAACTCTTTCCTGCAGCATTGGCTCTAACTTGATGTGAACCTGTTCAATGATCTCCTTTACCAGATACGCCTAAAAGGAATTGGAAAAAGATTATGAAAATATTGCGTTTTTCTACTCAAATGTGTTTTTATTGACAGATCACATATGGATTCACTCTTTCACCTCCTTTGTTTTCAATATAATTGGACATGGCCATAGGCGAAAAATGAATTTACCAAAATAATACAAATAGAGAACACATTTTGTGAGTCCCTACTTCACCCCAAATCATTCCACTTTGTTTTAAAGAACCAGATTATAACGACCTACAACACAATCACAGAGAAGGACTGTTGCCTTTAACAGTTGCAGCTTCATGTTCGAGAGACAAAGAGGAACCACTACTAACAAGAGATCTGAGGTAGTGATGCAAGGACACACGTGGGAGACTGAAGTCGAGATAATGAAAAAGGAAAGATAAAAAAACAGCAATGTACTGGTCCTGGGGTCCAGACATCAATTATACCTGACAATTACTGCAGGACGGAAAAGTGTCCAAATGACGGCGAGTTAGATCTTCTACCTATTAATTAATCCAACTGAAGATAACACTTCAGGAGTCATTCACTCTTTAGGAGTCTTTAGGTGATCACATCAAAAGCCTAATGATTTTAAAACAACTACTTTTTAAACGCAGTGCAGCAAAGCTATTCTGGTGTCAAATGAAAAGCAGATGAACCGTTTAAAACTCAATAAGACATTGTTTGTTTATGTACAATCCCTTTGGTATGTACTTTTTTCTTTCCCACACTAAGACTTGTGTTGTAGCCCAAACTCCTGGAACAGATGACGACTTTATGTATTTATTAGGACGGTAGACGGCGTGTTTAATAAACTGTGTGTTGTGACTCATGTCTATTAATGTATTTGAAACCTTTTCACTTTGTGTAAATTGTACAGTAATTCAATGTTGCTCCCATTCCTCCTCTCCATTGGGACGTTTATGGAGTGACACGACGGCGTTCTCAACGTGGAAGTTTATGCATTCTTAACATATATCAGATTTATTTTTGGTATCTCGGTTTCCTCAAGTTGCTATCCCTTTGAAAAGCTATTGTTATTGTTTAACTTTTCATTAAAACCTACTCAGAGAATTCAAACACATTGGTCTTTTCTGTGTCTTCCTGATGGCTGTGTGCAAATAAACCCTTTCTTGATCAATTGAAAATCTTTTTATACAATACAACCAATGGATATCCTACATCTGAAACACTTCTCAAAAATAATTAGCTATTTTACAATTCCAAGGTTTTATAAACATACGACCACAGCTGCTGCTTCTGTGCATATCTGGTTATTTTATTATATTTGTCAGGGTTTATTACGTGACAGTAAACTGATCCGGATAGTGTTTCACTGACTGTCTGAGCGCTTGAGGTATTCACTTTATCTGATCTGTGGTCCATCGATGTGTGTTTGAAGTGAAGCATCTCGAACGGCCTGCAGTGTGTTATGTAGCATTACGATTACTATGCACCATTGTTCTTATAAACAAATGGAAAGACTGCCTTGAAATGGTTTGTTTGACTTTAATGTATCTTCTGTAGCTTGAACCACGAAACGCTGTTATCATAATATACACTATGTTATTCGAATAACCTTTATTGGCAAGACAAATCAAAAACCCATATTGCCAGAACAGTATAATTAAACTTGATGAGATGATCAGCAAGACGTATACAATGCCTATTTGAATCCAGAAATGTATTTTTTTTACAGGCTTCAGCTTGACTAAACTATTACCTAATTAATTTACTGTAATATATATATATATACATTTTTTTCTTTGAAAATACCAAATTAAATAAGACGAAAACAAATAAAGGGTGGTTAGTTATGCATATTTTTGTTTACTGGATAAAAAAGTCCTATACTGAAAACTATTTAAGTATTTCTTTGATTTATTTTCAAAATAATTGGATAAACCTCAAATCAGCCTAATGTTTTTTTGTTTATTTTTAATATTCAGTAGCCAAATGTTCTTTATAACAAAAAATAAACAAGTTTTACGTATAAGAAAAAAAATACCAAATTCAATAAGTGAGAGAAGAATTATATAAAAAGTGTAAAACTGTTTTAGAAAATCTTCACAGAATAATTGGAGGAAGAACGTTTTTCTTTTACCACTGTTCAGCGTTATTGTGTATGGAAAATGTGTTTTAATATAATAAAAAAACTATTTGTATGCATCCAAGACTTAAAAAATACCAAATGAAATAATAGGGACAAATAAATAATTTAAACGTGTATATATTTTATCTGGATAATAAGGACACGAAAATGTAAATTTAGTTTACAATAAGATTACAAAATATATACAAACTATAACAAATAATTAAAATATGTACATACATTTTTGTTTTTAAAATACTTGTGGAGAGGGACCACTCGAGCACTACACATGTCAATTCACCCTCAATGTTTTTATTTATTTATTATTTAGCGTCATTGCTCCACTATGCAACAACTGGATCACAACAGTCTGACGGGATTAAGTGGCGCACTCTGAGGCAGGAGCATCGGGGAGGGGCGTCCGTGAGACAGGGTCCATCGGCGGTGTAACACGGAGGGTTTTCATCCGGTGCAGCAGGGAAGCCTTTCTTCTCCAGAGCAGGTCTGCTGCTGAATTACAATTGGGATACGAAGCCACCATGAACGAGGGGCTTTTTTCCCCTGTATTCCTGCACGTTTAATTAATGAAGACATCAATCTCTCCTGGGGGAGGATTTCTACCCTGTGGTTTGATGCAGGAATGATTTTTCTCGGCTTGGTTTTGCTACAGAGGACCATGGAGACCTCCGAAGGCATCGGTCATGCTCTCTGGTAAGATGTCCTTCTCATCCTTACGGGGCGTATTAATGAATAGTCAGTATATTCTCTATTTAAAAAAAACAGCGTAGCCTACATACGAGACGCTATTTTCCATAACATGTATCATGTGGCATTTACCTTAACGTAAAAAAACGTGTTTGTCATCGTGTCACTAGTGTCATCGACACACCTGCGATATGTTATTTTTCCATTAATTAGTGTTTGATTAGCAGCCGGTGCTTCTGCCGTGTGCAGCCACTATGCAGATGTCTGCAGCCTCAGAAGCCGGGCTTAATGTGGGGTGCACATGCTTTAAATGAAACAACACGCCTGTAAATTAAAAGGGGGCTGTGTTGAATGAAATCCAATATATCTGTGCTGTAGGTTTATTATTCCAGCGCCTTGAAAACGGTATATGTAGGCTACTGTCTGTGTCATTAAAAAGGCAGGACATGCAACAGCATCTGTATTCAAATGAGCAGCTTTAAATATGTGTGTCATGCTTCTTGGGAATACACAACTTCTCCCTGTTTACTGCATAGTTATTATGGGGGCAAAATAGGCTATGTGCTGCTGCCTAATGGGTCTTATTGATTTCGTTTATGAATACCCATGCAGCAGCCCTGTTATTATAACGGATTCCTGAACAAGCATGTCTGTCTGGATGTGGAAAAAACCAAAACTCATCAGTATGTGTTGTGTGGGTCAGTCAGTGCCTTCAGGCTGATTCTCAGCTAGTCTGCCTCTCGGTGTAAGAAGTGGGAAACACCTCTCTGCTTCTTCTGATGAGGATACTCCATGTTAATGCCAAGTAATATTCAAAGTGCTGATCGTTCCTATTTTGGGGTTCTTGGACCATCAGGGCAATTGACAAAGAGGTTTGGGTGTTTTATTGCAGGGGAAGCTGGAGGACCATTCATGCTCAGTGTTTCTTGACACATGTTGGTGTTTGTTTTCTCCCCACGCTGTTTGCTGTTATCTGCAAATTGGTAGAATGGCACTCTACTCTCCTTTTAAAGCACTCCCCGTGGTTTTCCTGTTGCTATAATTCAATCAAACACCATGGAATTGACCCAGTTTGGTGCAAACACAATTCTTTTGCCATTATACCAAGGTGACACTGCAATGTTTGTGATGCCCTAAAGACATGGACTGACACGATGTGAGCATCTGGTTCACTAGCAGTTGACTGACAAGCATGCAGGTTTAAGTGGGGGGTCTGTGTAAAGTCACACACTCACCCCTCTGATCTGGATCTAGAACCTTTTAGAAAAAAAACTCTTACCCGTGCATTTGCTCGGATTTAAAGTGAAAACACGTCTTAGTGTGTGAGCTCAGGGAATCAAATCCCAGACCTTATCAAGAGCTGAAAATATACCAGAGCAGGAATAAGCGAGAGAATTCACCCACATTTCTCCAGTCATAAAGAGCACAAAAGAATCAGATCAAGCTGTTATGCATGTCTAGTGTTCAATGTAAGCGCACGGCTGTGGCTGCACATCATAAGCAGCTCTGAACTCCATCCAAAACCAAACAGGGTGGATTACAGCTTCAGAGGAAACATAAAAACAACTTAGGAATACATACGGAAATCCCCCCAGGTGTTACAGAGCAAAGGGGAAATGCACAGGAATAATCCCCTCGGACGTTAGAGCCGCATTCCTTTCTTTATTACTCCCCCCCCTCTTCAGCTTTGCAGGATCCAGGTAGATGGCAATCACCGGGATTGCTTTGTTTCTACCGGCTGTATAGGTAGCTGTGTCAAACATGCAAAGGTGAGTGTCAAGGCCGGGGAGGAGAAACCGTGAGCCACGCGATTGGTCAGTCCAGGGCTAAGCTGTCCTGCTGTGTGCCGATAAGCGTGTTATAAATCAGTATTTCATGGGTATAGAGAGCACCAGAGGAGATGATATTAGTGTAGGGGGACAGGAGGCGGGGTGACCTGACCTTCCATAAGCCCTTCACAGATATTTGGTTGGGGTTGCTCAGGTGGAGGTAGTTCAGTAAATCCTCTGCACACAATCTGCTGTACGTCTGACCCCGAATGATCTCTTAATCATACAGAAACATGAATCTGCCTTTTTTCCCCCCACTAGGTTAAAACATTTAGATGTCGACATTTCAGTTCCCCATCATCATCATTACAAGTGACCAATGGCCATTTATAACATCCTTGGACTTTGAATGGCGCGGAGAGGCGTTCAGATAAAGGTCACATTACTGCTCTCTCACAAATGAACAGAGGGAGGTTCAGAATTGTTGAATGGCTGCCATTTGAAGGCATTTTGTGGCAACGTTTGATATTTCAAAGCTACACTGTCTGCATCACTACAAGCCTTGTTTTGACTCCTCGGAAATAGGAGTGTGAAGTCTTTCATATATCTTGATTCAATTTTATTTTGAGACTTGAGGTCACTATTTGATTTAAAAACAATGTCCAATTCCAAATGGATTTTGAATTCAGTACATAGTGATGCTGTCTTAAGGATCTACTCAAGTACTGTGTGTGTTAATTAATACAGTGCAGCAACCAATACATTAAGCTTAATTAAAGAGGACATATTATTATGCTCATTTTCAAGTTTCAACCACTTAGAGATGTCCCGTACAATGTGTTGGAGTCAATAGAAGCGCGAGTGTTACATAGTAAAGTCACTATGTAACAGAAGTAAACAAAGGAGTTCAACTGGGAGGAGTGTGTGGGAGAGAAACTCCATCTGGAGGGAACTTTGGGATTTTAGCCTTGGCAGACCATTTACATGCTCAAAAACCTAAATTAAACACTATAGGAGTGAAAACTCCAAAAAGCCGCATGGGGCCTCTTTAAGTATGTATACGATCATGAAGAGTGAATATTTGAAAGAGGTACATCAACCGACGGCAGTAATGTAAAAACACAAATGCAAATAAACACTTTTCACCCAAAAAGTATTTGGACTTTTACATGAATAAACCGGGTACATAGCTGCCTTTTTTTATTTCTCAGAAACTGTCTCTGAAAAGTGTTATTTCACGTAATATTTTTTAAACAAATCACGCAAAGTACAAGTCACAACTTTGACTAGGATTACTGTCTATTAATAGCAACATCTAGGTGTTCACAACTAACTATTAAACTATTGTTTTCCAGACCCCATACTTTTTTTGTGAATTGTTGTCCTGGCATGCCATTGAAACCCTTATTAGAGTGAACCTAGCAATACTTAAAATAATTTAAAGCATCCCAGTCTGTAACACTATTGGCCTGGTTGTGCCTCCTCACAAAGCAGTCGTAAACCCTGCTCTGGTTACCATGTGTAAGTTCATAATATTAGCAGCTGTGTCAACACCAACAGTCAACACGAGGGCTGCCGGCCTCACCTGTCCGCAGAGGGTAGAGGTGATATTTCAGCTGCTCTTAAACCTCTCAGCTGCTCCACATCGCCTGTTGAAAGAGACTAACAATCCCATTGTGCATCCCCTACCACCTGCAACCGATACGCAGATTGTTGCATTAAGACAAGCTGTACTGTAAGTCGTGAATACATCTGTTACATAAACGCTGTTGACAACAGCAGCCTGTTCCCGGGACTCCTGGGCCAGATAAAAGCTGACAGCAAAGAGAGTGAATCTCTTTAAGAGCTGCGAGGCATCGTGTTTATCAAGGGGATGAGAAAACTGGATATAAAACTGTTGCCTGTAGGAATTTAGCTTGACTGTGAATGCTGTGATCTAATATGTATGAAGTGAAGGCACCGCAGTTCGTTGTGTGGACACGGCAGGATTGGACCTACCTTCCAGGCTTCAGTGTTCTGCCCGCCGGACATGAATATTAAACTCGCGGCTGATTTGCATTCGTGTGATGCACACTGCACAGGGGCAGCTCCCTCTCATCACACAGCTCATGTTTTAATCAACACGGTTCCCACAGTGCTATCTACACCCCCATCCATTGCCCACCCCCCATATGTTAAGTCAACATGTGTTTGATGATCACGTTCATTTCTCTCGTACTCATATCTCCTGATCCCCTCCTTTGATGCCGCTCTCTGCGACTCTGTGTTTATCTCGTTCTTCTTTGACCCGCCATCTCTCCTACAGGCTTCTCTCAGGAATGTGATGCTGTCTCATGTTGTTGTACCTGTACCTCTGCGCACATCTGTACACCAGATGTTCAAGCTGTTTAACGCTTGACTTCAGCCAGAGAGACCACTGATCCTCTCAGGTGTGTCATTTGTTAGACTCAGTCGTGGTTGGAGGCCCGACCTGTTGCACTTGATTGATTCGTCCTTTACTTAAAGCAATACTTGAGTTTGTGGTAACTCCGGAGGCCCTCTATGTGTATATGCTGCTCAGCCCTCACTACTGTTGTGTTTCTGCTCTTTGCAGGGATCTTATCAAACAAATGTGGTTCATATTATAGTGCCCTTTTACATTTTTCCGATGCATTTCCCTTCTGACAATCCTCATTCTATAGTTGGCACTTTTCTGTTCCAATTATCAAAATGGGGTCATCCCTTTTATTCTTGGGGTCCCATGTTCTTGATAACATTTTAAGAGGTTGATTAAGTCTTAGGGAGATAAAACCGATGGAGGCACTGTAGAGAAATCAAAAAGTCAAACTAACTGTCTTGCTGGCAAATTGGAGTTAGTTACAAGGGGAATAACATCAGTTAGGCTGTTGGTGGGGGTTTCTACATTTGAACAAGAGAAACAAGTCATATTGATATCATAAAACTCTTCCAAAGGTCTTTTTTGTGGCGTTTCACATTACTTCACATACCTCAATTGATGAAAAGTTGAGATGGTACATTAGACAGGATTTGTTGAATGTCATTAATATGGCTGCTGTTCTTGAAAGTTGATGTGCGATTACGCTGTGGAATAAGACATTTGTGCATTTTGTTTAGATGCCACAACTGTGTGTGTTTTCCGATAGAGAAGTAAGTCATTAAGTCAGTGAACCTACTTAGTAATGTCAGTTACACACTTGCTAACGTCTGCTAACATTAGCCACCAGTAGCTACTAGCAGTAGCTAAGGAGCCAATGGTGACTAATGTTAGCAAACGTTAGCAATTAACCACAGTAGATAGTGATGGCTAATGTTAGCAAAACGTTAGCAAAATAATACTGCTGTGTAACTGACATTTAAAGGTAGGGTAGGAAAGTTTGAGAAACCGGCTCGAGTGCGCTAAAATGTGAAAATACAAATTACAGAGCCCCTCCTCCAACACACACGAACGCGCACATGACCAATGAGGGCACGAGATAAGTTTGTGCACAGATGGAAGGCTGACAGGCAGGTAGGCCATCCAGTTATTTTAGCCGGGCCGGCTAAAATGATTGGTCGTGCTTTTTACAGTATTACGGCTTCCACAGATGACATTTATTTATGGATTTTTTGTCAAAGCACTTAAGATATTCATTGCTATCGGGTTGTTAAGAGCATTCCATGGAATATAACAAAAAGTGTATCTCGAGCCGGTTTCTCAAACTTACCTACCCCACCTTTAAGTCGGTTTACTTATTTAATTACTCTATTTACTTCACTAGCTCTTACAGTAGCTAGTGGGGTTTATTGCTAATGAAGTATGGTTTATTGCTACTTAATTAAACTTTTTATATGTAAGATGAAGAATGTGTTGTTTCTTTCTTCAAATATCTATGCCAGTTGGAGCAGCAATGTTAAAACAACGTTTAACCAAGGGCACTGAAGTCAAAGGACTGTAAGTAGTGAAAGTGATAAAAGGCGTTTTTTTTAGTGAGTGAAAAGGACAACACCAAGCATCCAAGCAAATGTTTATGTTGCTGGACAAAGCCATTCCTTCGAGGCAGGGCAGCCTTTTGGCTCCAGCTGCCAGGCGACCATTGCGATGAATACCAAATGTCTCTGTCTGTCTTCTCCCAAATGCTTCTCTCAGGAGGTTTACCGCTCAGCCTCGCTGCTCAGCAGAGAACAGACATGACACTGCCTCGTACATTCCCAGGTGAAAAGTCCTTCTCAGTTTATTAAATTATCCTAAAACCTGATTATCCCTGGCTCAGCTTTGTTTAACTGGGTTCATGTGATGAGCTTTTGTCCGAGCAGCGGTCGTATAACTCTGCCACTGGTTTGTGTGAAAGGCTCATACTTGTCTGTCAATGGGAGGTCAAGCATGCTGGGCTTTCACACGTACAGGAGCAAACAGCAGTTACTGGTTCAGATCCAGGACAGGAGCCAACACAAACTCGCTACAAGTATTTCAAGTATGTCTTCAGACAATGTGAGCCTTGTGTTGTTTGAGTGAGGAAAACAGAGAACTGTGTCTTAAATGCCCCCAAAAAGCAAAAGAATCTGGTAGATTATGTGCAGAGCTTTGAGGCAGCTGCTCAGTGGAGCTGATAGATAAATGTTTCCTTTTGAAAGATGGGATGCTGGCAGAAGCAGTCTTTGGACGGGTAAATCGTGATTAAGCCCTCGAGACCTTCCTTTTAGAAATCTAAGGGGTTGAATGGAGTCGTTTTATGATTTACCCGACTGGCAAGATGCTTGTGTATGGCAGCGATTTGTGAGCAGCGTTGAGTGAGAGGCTTTTGGCAGAAAACGCAATCTCTATTTTTGGATGTTGAGTCTCTATTGGGAATTAGGGAAGAGGTTTTGTTTGTAATGAACCTCGGTTATGTGGGGAAAAGTGCACATGATTCATTGCTCACTTGCTACAATTAATTGAAGGCAGCATTGTGTTTTTTTTATAGGGTCAATGTTAGGCAACAGCTTATTTTTCTTAGCACTATACAAGATGATCTGATATGGAAAAAGCTATAAAACATATTAAACGCAATCCCATGTAAAGTGAATTTCCTGTAAACCCTGATATTTATGGCGACTGGAAAGAGGAAAACTCTGCAGAACATTGCATTTATTCCTCTTAGCTTCCTCTTTTATTTATTCCATCACTTTGCTCCTGGCTGTATTCCTCTGGGTCCCTCTCTTTTTCTCTTTTGTACCAGTAGCTATTGAAACATAAAACACTCAGGGTTTAGGTTTCTCCCTCTCTGTTTCTGCCCATACATTATTAATGTTTCTTATCCTGTCTCGCTTCCTTCTCTTTGCAAATGAATTGGTGGCTAATTGAAATTGAAAGCTATTTTTAGAGTATTACTTACTTTCAAAAAGCCCTAAGGGGCAACTAAGGTTATCATCCAAACTTTTGATCACATTACATGTTACTTGTTAGACGCTTTTATCCAAAGCGACTTAATATAATAATACATTTGATTTATATAGCACACTTTAAAAACAACGTCATCTCAAGGTGCGTCATCTCAAGGACTTGCATACTCAATACTGTGTGCAAATCCCACTCACATTTGGGGTGAAGTGTCTTGCCCAGGGACACAACGACATGCTGACTGCAGTGGGGTTTGAACCTGATCCGAACACCAACGCACTAGTCCACTGCACCACACACCTCCCCCTCCTAATTTCTAAATCTTCTATCAAAACCAGTTGAATGCTTATTATTAATATGGCTTTATGTAATGTAAAATCTGGGATTTATTTTGCTTTTAGTCAGGGTTGGGAGTCTATGCTTTCCATCACAATATGTGAAAAAATGTAATCAGTTAACTAATCTAAGAATCACAATTTAAAAGAAATGTAACCTGATTACTTTCCATTACTTTTGGATAATGTCAATATCGAATGCAATGCCAATAGATACAAGATCAAATAGATATCAATACGATGCCTCTTACTTAAGTGTATTATGTAAGACCACAAATGTAACCCTATATTAAAAGAAAACAATATATTTAGTATAAAAAATGTATCAAAAACGCTTATAGAATAGTTTACAAATGCTGTTTTAGTTTAATATATTCATTAAAAACAAACACAATATTTTATTATTTTAGTTTAATAAATCAGCTGTCCACTCACTGAATAAAAAAAGATTTCAAAAATAAACAAGAATGAAACTAGCCTAAATAATAACCAAATGGAAAATGCAGGCTGTATGTCTCCTATAATGTATCATTCTTTATTTAAAAATGTATCCTTCTAGTTATCTCCATTTTTCAAATCAATGTTCCACTGTTTTCTTTCAAGCTGTATTAGTAATGTGTTTATATTTGTTTAACCTTTTCAAGGCTTTAAACACCTGAACATTACATTACATGTCATTTGTTAGACGCTTTTATCCAAAGCGACTTACACACATTCAGTACTGTGGACAATCCCCACAGGAGCAATTTGGGGCGAAGTGTCTTGCCCAGGGACACAACGACATGCTGACTGCAGTGGGACTCAAATTTGCTATCCCCTGATTCGAAGTCCAGCACACTAACCACTGAGCACACTATCCACTGAGCCACAGCCTCCCTGAACAGAGGTGCAGTAGCTCCCCCTGATGGAACCTGACACCAAAGCTTATCTACTGCTGACTTGAAAAATGCAACCGTTAGTCCTCGAGAAAACACATGGCTGATTCTGCAAGCTCAGAGAAAGAAAAGCATCTAAACCTGAACGTATTTTGTTGATCCATCTCAGCAGCAGCTAAGCCTCTTTTGCTTTTTCCCTTAGGTGAGGGCGTGACTCGGAGCGAGAGTTGTAAAGTCCCCAGAGTTACATCACATGGAGGTCAAAGGTCATCTGATCACATCCATGGGTTTGGGGGCTCCTGGTGAGTACTATTGACGCGCTAACAGTGTTAACACACACTTTCGTGTCTGGACAAGCCTGGAATGGCTGGTTTGTTTTTTCTTCTCACAGTCCAACAGAAGGAAAACAAAAGTGTGTTTCTCCAGGAAACCACCAGCTGAAAAAACAGTTGCATGTGTGAAGGCCTTTTGTTCATGACACAGCTGTCAGATTATCTTATCACAGCACTGAGGAACTGTGAGCAACATCAAACTGTGAGAAAAAGCAGCCATTGTGAGACAGAAACACTGCATTTTTAATTTAACATTAAATATTTAATCTAGTTAAATGTCTCAGTTTGAATCCTGCACATCTGCATTCAGGTGATTTAGTCTAAGATGTCTAGCCTTCTGTTTTAAAATGAGAAGTCTGTCATTGTCAATGTTTCTATTGCTCAACAAACCCCCTAAAAACAAATAAACAATAACGTTAGTTAGTTAGTTAGGTAAGGGTTAAAACAACTTCCCTGCCCTGTCTGTTCCTTTAATCCTCAGCCATTTGTTTCCTACACAAGTAAATGGCTCACAAATGATGTATGTAGGATCCTCACTCAAAGTGAGTTTTCATGAACAAGGTTATAAAAGAACAACACGGACAACAATGGACAGAGGAATGTGATATATCAGGATTTGGATACACAAATGATACTTGCTACTATAGGCTTTATTCATTGTCCCCTTGGGTCTTTTTCCCTGGGATTTGTTGTAAATGAAATAACAGATTAAACTTTAATTCAGTCCCTCTGAAGATGCATTACATGTGTTGTGTTGTGTAGATGTTCAAGGCTGCCAGGACAGCAAGCTGCAGGCGGAGCGGGTCGCAGCGCTGCAGGAGAGGAAGCAGGCCCTGGAGGCTCTGCTCAGCTCCAGAGTGGGAGAGCTCAAACATGTCTGTCTACAGGAAGCTGTGAGTAGCTCTCTCTTCACAAAGATAATGTGGCTCAGGACAACACATTCTTACTTCATATGTATCAAGTGTTTATGTAATCTACAATTTGTTCATGTTGGGATTTTTTACGACTGAGCATGCAGCCTTTTATCAAATCAGGTTTTATTTATATAGCACATTTAAAAGCGATTTTTGGTCGAGCCAAAGTGCTGTACATGTAATAAAAACACATTACTACAATTACAATAAACGACAATAAATTACAACAGATATATCTTAAAAACAAAATCAAAATCAAACACACGGAAAAGTCAGGAGTCGTGCTCCGCTCTAACTGGAAAGCCAGAGAGAAGAAGTGTGTTTTTTAGTTAAGATTTTAGGACCATTATTGGTCAAAAGAGGGTTATATTTTGAGAAAAAGCTCTGGGTTTTAAAGTCAAACCTAATTTTACTAGAAAAAGACAACTATATACTGGAGGTTAGTGGTTGGAGAAGTGGTACATCTATTTTTTTAAATGTACAACATTCCTTCTCCATATGTATCAAGTGTGTAGTCAACTACAATTTGTTCATGTTGTGTTTTACTAATGTTTTTACAGATTGTTAACATAACTATGAACCTCTAAACGTAAATGCCCACAACAGTGTATCTGGGCCAATATAGATACAGAAAAAATGAGATTTTAAGATTAAAGTCAAATCCTAATTTTACTCGAAAAAACAACAATTATATACTGGAGATTAAAGTGGTACATTTACAAAGAAAAACACTAAAATATTCGTTCTTTTTCTCTAACTTACTACTTTATGTAATATCTACGTTTTTTTTCTCGTTACATATTTGAAATGTTTTTTTATATACTTGACTTTTATATGCTGTTGTAAGATCTTCCTGGCAACCAGTTTTTCTTAATCGTGTCCAATTGGTTGCATATTTGATTTGCCTGATTGCTGTCAACCCCTCCTAATCTAGAATAACCTGCCTCTGCTTTTCATGAAGAGCTGTTTTAAACATCCCTATTTTTCAACTGGATGTATAGTCACTGGATGTATGGTGTCTGAACATGCTCTATTTTAGGATTCACTACTAGTCTTCTCTGTTTTCAGTGTCGCTATTTTAGAAGTTGAAATCCTTCTCATCTGCACAATTATTCTGTTACTGCTTTAGTGGTGAATCCTGTTAGAAACAATATTTATGGCTTCTATTTCAGTGCACACAACCATTTAAGGGGAGGTTTTTTTATTGAGACTTAAAGTAATCTGTTAAGTGGTGTCCTTTTATGTAACACTTTGGAGCTCCCTGGCCGGTGAGAAGATGGATTTTAGTTTCTTGGGGCTAATGAATGTGCCTCTGCAGGAGCTGACTGGGAAGCTTTCACATGCTTTCCCCCTGGAAACGGGAGAGAAACCCCCAGTGGTGCAGCGCAGAGCTGGCCTGCCGCCCAACACCAAGGCAGAGGTAAGTCAACACCTTGAATATCAATAGTGTTTACGCAGCAGCTGTACCTCTGTGTGTACTCGTGGTTTAACACGGCCGGCTGTCTGCAGGATGAGGCTGCCCAGAGAAAGCAGATGAAGGCCATCTTCACCGGGGCTCTGTACAGACACTCGGAGTCAGACCGAAATATCCCCAACAGCAAGAGGACGGTTCATCGGGGCTGTCACACAGGTACAGAAACAACATCCATACTTCCACTGATCTTATAATATCAAGGCTTCTTCTTTCAGAGTAGTCATGAAGAAAAATGTCAAGAAACACTCAGATTCCTCCTAAATTCACCAGAAGTTATTATGGTATATAACAATTTTTCGGTCTTTGTAGCCCCTCAACGTGTTTTAAATATACAAGTCAGCATTCACCCATTCACACACATTCATACGGAGGAAGACGCTGATATACAAGTTGCGACCTGCTAAGGGAAGCTCACAATCGCACACTGTCGGCCATGACATCAAATGTGTCTTTCCCAAGGACACATTGACATGCAGGGGGCTGGGGGTTGGGGGTTGGGTATCGAACCATGAACCTTCCTATTGGAGGACATCCATTCTACCTTCTGAGCCACAGCCGTCCCATTACATTAAAGAAGGCCTCATTTGCAATTATTAAAAAAAAAAAAAAAAACTAGGGCTGTCAATTCTTTTTTAACGCCACTAATTATTTTAACGTGCGATTAACGCATGTGTATTTGTAGTTGTTGTTGTTGTTAGTTGGATGGTGGGAGATTCTAGCGAGAGATATGGATACAAAAAAAGGTGTTTTAAACAGCAAGCCAAGCCCACAGCTGATGCTCCTGCCGCTCGCTTGCGCTTGAAAGTTTGCCGGGGAGACGCCTGGACAACAACAGCGATAGCTAAATGGGTGGCTACAGCTTAACATTGTGGAGGACGAGGGCCTGCGTTAGATAATTCGGATCGCATCCAACGTGTCGACTGCACATCACAGCGCATTATTGTGACCCACAGTGGGAACTTCAGTCTCATGCTTTGACTGTTATGAAGACAGAGGAGCGGCATTTCGCCGACAACTGTAAACAGGCTTGTCTGTTTGAGCAACTGGCTCAGTGCAAAGAAGTACACAGGGTTGGGAGAGAGTGTAAGAGAGAGAGAGAGGTTCCAGGTGGTTGTGTTGAGAATATTCAGGAGAATATTTGTCATTGTTCCAATGATAATAAACACACATTTGCATAAAGCATATTTGTACACTCATATGTTGATAAGAGTATTAAAAAAAAAAAAAAAAAAATTCCTCTAAGGTACATTTAGAACAGATAGAACAGATTAACTATGGACATCATGCGATTAATCGCGATTAAATATTTTAATCGACTGACAGCCCTAAAAATAACACTTCAGAAAACATTTCTGGAAAAACACATTTCTTAATACAGGAAATCACCTGGGGTAGTTTCATGTTGACATGTAGTATTTATTTATTATTAAGTGTTTCTACATTTACCTGCAGTGCCTCCCCTAAGAAGAAACTAGTATATATATCTTAAAAGTGAATAAAGACAAAGCTTTATTGTCATTAACATTTTACATTTTTGCAAAACAAACTCGTACAGAAGAGGATTAAGGCCATCGCTGACCAAAAGTGATTTTATTTTGTGATTTCTGAGAAGAAAGTCAGAATTATGACTTAAATCTCACAGCTTTGAGAAAAAAGTAAAAAAAAACCCTCTTTTAGTCAGATCTCCATAAAAATGTCTTCTGTTAACTTGCATTTATGTTGAACAAAGACTTCCTGCTGCATCATCTGTGAATGGTTTGTTGTCTTTCAGAGGACACTGTCATGTCAGAGAGTACAAGCTCCATGTCAGACTCAACATCCCATGATAATGGTGAGTCCACTGAACACAGACCGACAGGCAACAACTATCTCTGGTGGATTCTGTACATCTGTATTCATAATCAGCTTAACTCACTCAGTAGTTGGCAGGCAGTAGAATTAGCTCAGTGTATTTGAAGCCTTTTTCACATTCAAAATACATCCCTCGGTGTCACTTATGGTAAGACACAAAAATAATTCAGATTCAGATGACTTTATTGTCCATAGCATTTACATAAAATGGAAATGGGTCTTTCGCACTAGCAAAACTACACTCACCATGCACAGCACAAAGTACAATTCAGACACAATACACACACAAAATTGCATCTTAAAGTCATAAAGTGAATAAGTGACTGTCATAATAAAAGTGCTAAGTGGTTTGTTCTTGTACTGGCTTGTGGTCCATTAAGATTTAACGTCAGAGCATTACTGACACTTACACTCAGTTGTCTTAAAAATAAATAGTATACATTAAAATTAGGTGATGGTGTTGATGGCAGAATGTCCTAAGAAGGATCGTTCAGTCACATTTCAGTTGTTAAATAGCACATTAAGCTTGTTGTGCTTCTAAAAACAGTGATAATATCTTTGTATTTGGGATTGTGGGAAACGGTATTTCGATCTCTCTGTCTGTACACACAAATAAAGTTGACTTTTGACTTTGACTTTGTTTCTCTCCTCCCTAAAGAGTCTTCTCCCAGCGTGGTGGCGGACCAGCGCTCTCTGTCTCAGCCCCGGCTCACAGTGGGCAGCCCCGACCACAGGATCAGCAGGAAGCTGTCGCCAGTCGAGATCTACTACGAGATGAGGACACGCCGCAACTCTGTCACCAGCTCCGTCAGGTTCGTCTCTCAAAGTGTCCCCACACGGCAAGCTGTGCGGTCTGCTTCATGTGTCACAGTGAACCTGCTATACTGTTAAAAAACAGGGGAGCAAATTGGAAAAGATATATAATTTAGTTTTCCTCCAAAGATCCTGCATTTCATCACACCCTGACCTCTTGGATTATATCGAGGAACAGCGTCCTTCACTTGTCTACATACATTAAATATAAATAGCCATTTTAAAAGAGCCAAACATTTGATTTAGTTTATTTGCTACACTACTACATACAATGCGAACCTGAAAATGATCATTATATATCCTCTTTTAAAGGTGGGGTAGGTCATTTTGGAGAAAACAGCTCGAGTGCGCTAGAATTTGAAAATACACAGCCGGAAAAAATCTCCCACTTCCTTACAGAGCCCCTCCTCCAACACACACGATCGTGCACATGACCAATGAGGGCACGAGATACGTTTGTGCACAGATGGAAGGCTGACAGGCAGGTAGGCCATCCAGTTATTTTAGCCAGGCCGGCTCAAATGATTGGTCGTACTTTTTACAGTACCACGGCTTCCACAGATGACATTTTTTTATGGATTTTTTGTCAAAGCACTTAAGATATTCATTGCTATCGGGATGTTAAGAGCATTCCATGGAATATAACAAAAAGTGTATCTCGAGCCGGTTTCTCAAACTTACCTACCCCACCTTTAAGGATATTTCTTACTTGTTTTTGTCTATCGCTGAAAAAAGTTAAATAAGCATTGATATGGGATACTGAGAGAAATGCTGCTGATATGTTTAAAAAGTGAGGTTGCAAACACTCTTTGTCCCCTAATTGAATAAAGTAAATGCATTTGCCTCTCCTGCTCCATTGATCAGTTGCCTCTGCATGTCAATGTGATCATAATCATAAATTGGTGATCCTCTTGTGTCTCTTCCCACAGCCCGACTCACTCTTTGCCGAGAAGTGCGTCTAACATTGAAGGCAGAAGTGTTCCAGCTACGCCTCTGTTAGCTCGCACGGCTCCCATCAGTGTTCACGTCAGGTAACGTGCCGCTCATCGCCGCTGCTCCTCCCTCCCACTGAGGTCTCTGTGTGCTCAGAAACAGCTTAATGACTTAGTTCGATTCAGACACAGTTTCAGGGTTGTTACAGTGATTAGTGTCATATTTAGCTAGCAGCGAGGGCTTGAGCTCATCGTTTGGTGTTTGAGCATACAGACTATGTCGCTTCCTAATTGATTTTGTGTGAAATGCAATAACAGGGTTTAGAATACATTTAGATTCACTCACTTTTTTTATCCAAAGATGCCTACGATGGTGACTCAGAGACATTCAAAACAAAGCGTTAAATTGTGTGAAAAACTCATTAAAGTGAAAGCCTGATTTTACCAGAATATTTTTTTGGATACTCTCTGAGATTGAGGTGGAACATAAACAACATTTCAATAAAAAAACATTTGAGAACAATTTTTAAAAAATGTGTTAGTTCTTCTTTATTCACTACTTTAATCTCAGAGAATATCCACATTTTTTTTAATGGCCCTAATACACTGATGTTAGGTGCTATTTGCAACCAGTCCTATTACTCATTTAAAATGGATTGCATGTTCATATTTGCTTGGTTGCTCCGGAGAGCCTGTCAGCAAGTCTTATTAAAGCTAGAACTCCATCACCTTATTATAAAAAGCTGTTTAAAACATCCGATATGTCTTTCAAAGTTACACCGAGCTCAGAAATCAGAAACAGGTTTATTACCAGGTAGGTTGACACGTACGAGGAATTTGACTTGATGTCATGGTGCATACATAAAAGTAAAACAAACATTTAAAAACACAGATAGAGAACTATTATAAGAAAATATAATAACATAAAAAAATATTAAAAATAATAAAAAATATAGTTAAAAATATCTCCTAATGTCAGCCGTTGTTCTCTCCGTCTCTTCTTTAGGGCGGACGGGTCGGGCGGTAACGGGCTGAAGCAGTGGTCCGGCAGCCTGGACGTTCCCTACATTATCCCCCTGGCGCAGGAGGGCTCCTCTTCGGACCGTCGCGGCTGCCCCTACAGCTCCCGGGCGCGGCGCAGCAACAGCTCCGAGGCCCTGCTGGACAGATCGAGCCTCCCCGACGACCCGGCCCCAAGGAACGGGATGCCCCCCCGAGGAGGGCCCTACAAGAGCTCAGAGACACTGACCGACGGCAAGCTGAGGCACATCCACCTGGGCAGCCCCGAGAGGCACGCCGACGGCAACGTGGATCAGGCCAAACTGCGCCTGTCGATGGGCGACCGGGCGGCGGGCGGGGGCTACAACGAGCTCCTGATGGACTACATCTGGGGGAAGCAGCAGAGGATGCAGCACCACCTGTACCAGTCCACAGGCCGGATCTGGCAGGACGCGCCCTCCCCTCGCTCCTCCACCGCAGCGGTGCCTCCCCACGCCAACGGATTCTCCCACTCCCAGGTGAACCTCCCCAGCGCCGCGCCTCCTTTCAGCCCCATGGTGCTCCGGGGGTCCCAAGCCGAGCTGCGCCGGGTCAAAGTCACCAGGACCAAATCTTGTGGACCCTTTATTCCTTTGCAGCAGCACCCCCAGGACGCCATCCTCCTGTCAGCGTACGACTCTCCCCTCCCCGCCTCCGGGAACACCACGTCCTCCATCCCCAACCTGCACCCCTACCAGACGGAGCTGTCGGGCCCCTCCTTCGGCCGCAGACCCCCTCAGTTCTCCCTCCCGACCCCAGAAGACTCGACGCGGAGCTTACATAAAGCCCTGGCTCTGGAGGGTCTGAGGGACTGGTACCTGAGGAACGCCCTCGGCTACCCCCCCGCTGCACCGAAGGGGAACGAGGCGGGGGTCTCTCGCCTCTCACACCCCCACCCGCTGGTGCACCAGCAGTCAGTCCAGGGTGACGCAACAAGCCCCCCCCGCTCTCAGATGCCCCAGTCAGCCAGCTTCCACGGCCACCCGCTGCACGGGAGGTCAGTGTTTATGTTTCTCTTTTCAATCTGCATGTCTATTGGCAGGAACAAATATACAAGGGGTGTCGTGGTGTTTTAGTCAGTTTCTAAAATAAAAAGCCACTGTCCTGTGTGGGGGTTGTGGGTGCGGAGATCATTGTATCATTGAGTCACATAATATTTATTCAGCGATGAAGGCGGCATATAAACATACACAATTAACAAAAACGTCCTCCATTCAAAAGATAATAACCAAAAGATATTTGCAGATATTCAAACAATAACAATCTTATTAAGGTAAAATGGCTCTCAGGGGAATTATGTATGTCTTGTAAGAAAACATTTTAGTACACAATAAATACCAGCATGCATGTCTGTAAATACACTGACTCAGTATTCTGCACTGAATACTTAGATATCTTTCTCACATGAAGCTGCTAGCAAGTCCCCAGCTGAGGACGGTGATTCTACCCCATCTATCATCCTGTGACCTTTACAGCCGTGCTTTGTTTTATTTGTGTTTGTGTTTTGTGTGGTCAGCATTATCTGCTGCTGTCCTCATGCCAACATCCAGGCGCTCGCATGACTGCTAATCAAAAAACACTCATAGTTTCATAGGCTTCCTTAATGCTCTGGAGAAATACTTTATATATCAGAGGCTCACACTGTTACCTTGAATTCTTGACGTTCCACTTGACTCCACTGTGTTGCATAAATCAAAGAACAGAAAAAAGTCTTGATGAATTAACGCAAATGGGGGACCCTTTCAACAAAAGTAAAACAACATCAAAACATCTGTTTAAAAAGTCACAACACTAATCCAAGTCTGATCTCAAATCCCTCTGTTCCCACCAGAGGGACATTCTCTCCCACACAACGCCTCCATTTGACTCCTTTGTTTATTTTAGTAACATCACTTTGTTATACTTGCACTTCTATTGATTAGCGCTCCAACACATTGTACGTGACCTACCGGCCTCGGTAGAATTCCAAGTATGCTGGACATTGGAACAGTCCTTCGGCGGGACTCGATGACGTCGTATGCTTGAAATAGTGGCTCTGGAGCAGCCTTCCTCGACATTGAGAAACACCCATTGTCTGGATAGGCTAAGGGGCGGGACATCTCTAAGCGGTTAACCAATCCCAACGGAGCCTCTCAGATAACCAATCAGAGCAGACTGGGCTCTGGTTTCAGAGAGAGGGTGAAAAGAGGTGCTGCAGCACAGGCAGTATGAGAAAAATAAAGAGCTTTTTGAACATTAAAGCATGGAGACATGTCACAGTAGAGACCCTCCACTTCCTGCCTCTCGTAGAGTGTATTTTATTGATTTGTGTTTCCTCCCCAACAGGTCGATGGAGTTCTCGCTCTATCAGGAGACTCCTCATCCACAGATGCAAGAGGCGACCCCAAAGGAACCCAGTCCAGACCCAGGCACCCTAGTCTGAAGCAGCAGAACACACACACACAAACACACACACAAACTCAAGCAGAAACACTGTAGCCTCACACACACATTCACCCACACGAGTCGATACAATGTGACCTCAACAGCAAAGTAAAACACGGCAACCTCAGCAGAAAGTGACTGGAATACGTGATAAACTGTAGCTGTACAGTGTGAAAAAGCCTTGGCTAGTTCCCCGTGTTATAACTGATCCCATGTGAACTTCATGTGAACATGGAGTCAACGCATCTAATAACAATATGGTCATGCTGTACTTAATATATCAATATTTCTGGTCAAACACAAGCAGTAATATTCTTCCTGACAACCCTGAAAACGCCCGAAATATACTTTTTTACAGAATATATACAACTCTAAATTACTATTTTGTATCTTCTGAGATATAAAGAACAGCTATATTAAAGAGGTAATTTATTGCTCATTAATCTTGTGATATACAAAGATGAGCTCACCATCATTTAAAAAAAAGTATTAATTCATGCCAGTGAATGTGTGTTTGTAAAACTATATAAAAAAAACAACATGCTTCAGTCGATCATCTGCCGTTTAATTTCCCAGCCATTTGTATTTTCCACGTTTGATAAAAGAAAGGGGCCATGAACTGTAACGTACTGGTGTAGCAGACGGGAGTGCCTAAATGTTTTAAAAACCTTGGTTAGAAAACTTTAAAGTGCTTTCTAATGATCTCAAAATGTGAACGCTAAGCTTTTGTGAGCTTAGTGTAATCCGAAAAAGAACTGAAAGCAGTTTACGATGTCACCAAATTGGGGTATTTTGGAATGATGTCATGTATATTGTTCAGTATGTTTTCTAGATGCAGCGTACTGCTGGCCACAAAATGTAGCTTTCTCTGTGCTGAGCGACCAATTTGACCACTTTTAGGACGAACCTGAGGGCTGTTGTTAAAGCTACTGAAAGGCAGTAGCACATGACTGTATGACAATAATGTAATAATTTTCCCCCTGCGTTTAGTTATGGAGGATTTGAGTGTCATATGGAGCACTTTATTAGCATCTTAAGCCTTAATTCCTTAGAAAATTGTCACCAAACGAGACAGAGTTTTTTTAAATAGGGGGAATAAATAAGTGTCAACATCTACTGAGGGTCTATCTGAGTGTTAGTCTGTATATAGCGTGGATTGTACTGATGAGTTTCAAGCTGTTTTATTCCGGTACTAACAACAATAATACTTTTTTTAACTAACCACATGATAAGTATATAATCAAAAAATAACCGCCCCGAAATACGCCCACCCTCCAAGTGAGCACTATTTAATTGGTTTGTAAAAGAAAGTACAGAATAGGGCTGCTGCAGTTTGAATGACGGTGTGAGCGGGTCTCATACCAGTAAATGTGTTAATAAGAATTCATGCTGGCGGATTTTTTTGTATTTGTAATGATTTCAGCTCATTTCATGTGCTTGGACTTAAAAAAAAAAACTTTTCATGTTTTTAAATCTTAGTAATGCATCATAATGTATGTTTGTAATCTTATTCTGCGGTGTAATCTTCAGAAAGATCAAAAATATTACATGAAATCCTCTTTAGTCTAGACCAGGGCGAGGCAACCGTCTGCAGTGGCTCCCTGTAGCTTTGAGAATAAATAACATGGACATAAATAACAGCCATTTCAATTTTTTTTTGTTGCACAGTGGACAATTTTCCTTTTATCTTTGAGTTTGAGGTGATGCTGTGACACTGAAATAATATTAATATTTCTTCAGCTAATAGATGCGTCACATCCTTCCATGTACTGACGCCTTTCCAGGGAGGTGGCATTTCCTACATTTTAGACCCCGGCCTTGGGAAAATAACAATCCCAAATTAAGCAAAGTTTAATTCTGTGTGTGTATAGATTCCTTTGCTTGTACTGCCAACACTGCTGGCCTTCCTTTATGGTTGATTATACAGTGAGAAATTAGCAAACCACAAACATTGTAATCTTGAAAGACATATCCTGAACACAGAATTTGCTGCTTGTTATGTTATTACAGGAAAGAATTGTAATAGATTTTCAACTTTTTCTTTATTTATCTATAAGTTCACAGATGCAACAAACACATTTTTGTGCGTAACTATATACAACACTTTAAAAGCTGTGTTAGCGGCCCCAGACAAACCTTAATAGCGGACAAAGTGGGGCAACATAGCTGTTTTGAAAATAAAGGTAGCTGACCCTTAGTCTAGACAATTTTTAAAAAACGTTTTACCTCCATTTAATGTACTCGATCTTTGACCATCTTGGGACTCATTTGAATGTAATTCTTTGTCATACGTGATGTTGTTTTTTATTCTAAGCTGTAGCACACCGTTGAATGTTTCCCGGTTTCTTTGCTGTGTTCAGTATCCATCCTTAAAACCTGAAATTAAAGACCAAACATGCTGTGCACTGGGGGTCATCATAAATGTATTTTTCATATACTCTGTAAGTTGCAAATCAATGAAATAAATGTAGCTCTGAAGCTAATTTATTCAAACTATACTATATTTATGAGCCTATAACATTTTGTAGCTATATCTACTGTAGCTCTTCCTCATCAGTGCAGGAATTGGTAATGTGTGTTAAAACCACTTCATTCAGCAGTGTGATGTGTTAATATTTGATTATTCTTTTTTTTAGATATTTAAATGCAGCTGTTTTCTTTCCCTATTCTCTTTATACCCAGGCCTGTGAAATAAGACAAAATAGGCCGGCCCAATGCTGTATGTATGAGATTGTGCTTCATTCTACTAAATAAAGTGTCATGTTGAAATCATCACACAATGAGTCAGACACGTTTATTGTAACACATATTGAATATAACAGTGGACGCATGTACACTGGCAAGGCCCTGCCACTTATAGGGGAACTTGGCACTTGAAATATTCCTGAAAATACATAAACAATTAACTATATATAATGTCATCAAACTTAATGTTCTTCTCAAAATTATAGTGATTTATGATTTCCATATTAACATGTTCATCAAAACTCAATCAGGAAGAGTGTGGTTCTCGAGATATACTCAAAATAAAGGATATATCAATAATATATGAAGAAGGAAAGTAAAAGAAAGTGGAGAATTTGAGTGAATACATTTGAAAAGCAAAGTGTGAAGTCAAATGTTTAGAAAAAAAGTCCAGCTTTCATAAGTTCAGGCATACGTTCATCAAAGGAGGAGTATCTTTTAGTTTTTAAACAAATGTTGAAATCCATTTTCACTTTGAACAATAAAGTTGACATACCAAGTAAAGTCACATTTTGAGAATAATACAATTACTAGTGCTAGCTCATATACTACAATATCTTGATTCTATTGTAAAATATTTGTTTGAAATAAAAATACGTTATAGGCCTACCCAAGAAGGCTATGCATGTTGTTACACATTCATAGTCATTTCCCTTTGATTTATATAATTATTCTAAATATTTTGATGATGACCTGTATTATTTTAAAACCCTCTAATTGTAAGAAAGTCAAAGGTGAAATAATAGATATGAGAATGATCCCCTCGCCCCCTCTGGAAATAGACCTGCTATCTAGCCTACATAGTGTGAAGTGTGTTCAGCAGCTCTGCTATTCCTGGACCTGAACAGAACAGCGCGAGGAGCACACAGCAGGAGCGCTGATCCGAGTCCTCGTGGCGTTCTATTTCCCGCGTTACAAACGTTAAAACTGGATATATATTTGACTAACAGCGGTAAGTAGCTCCTCCTCTAATGTTGTTTAGTATTTATTGCGAGACTCGCTGAGTTATCAAGTGTACATTTAAAATGCGTAGCCTTAAATATCAAGCAGTGCAGAATGTACACAAGTTTAGCTAGCCGTTGCTAAGTGTTTAACGAAACAACTGGGAAAGACAAACCGAAGCTAGCTAGCAGTTAGCTTATCCAAATCTTAATTACATTCAATTAGGCTATAAATAATGCAGCCATGTGAAATGGAGCTTTGCTACTGCAAGATTTTTTCTCTCGCTTCCAACTTTTCAACATTATGCTGCTGTCCCTTTAGTCATGTTTTCAGGTAAAAACTGTTTTGTTGTCGAAATGTAGGGCTAAGCTAATTCTTACCTAACTGCCTGACTTCTTAATGAGTAGAGTGAGAGTTGTATCAGTATGAAGTATTTTTCTTTACTTGTCACTGTCTTTCTAGGGAGATATACCTTGTAAGAACATGATCATTTGCTTAACAATTGATATCATGGACCTGTCCTTCTGTGTATTGTATAATAATAATAATATTATTAAGTAATTTTGGTTTGCCGTTAGAAAACTTTGTTTTTAGTAATAAGTTCAATATTGATACATGGATACAAGGTTTTCATCGCGGTGTTCAGATTAAATTGCATCACTAAGTCATGTCATGTGATATGTGTCATGTCATGTTGAACTGCCAATGTAACGTGACCCATACATCCATGACGTGACCACTGAGAAGACATGACAAGTAATACCAAACATTTCGGTAACAAACTCCTATATAGCCTACTGGCCCAAATTAATAAATGAAGATCTATTGAAGGGAAAATAACACTGGAAAATAATACAACATGTGCTAACATATAGGATATTAACCTCCAATATGCAATAGCAGGAAATAAATAGATATTCCTAATCAATAAATACATTTAGAGTGCTTTGACAGTGATATACATGTGTGTACGGGTCACCCCTTTGAGTACACAGAGACAGACAAACACCTGCAATGAAAGCACATGGTTAAAAACTGTCTAGTAAAATCACTGCAGCACAGTGAAACTCCTGAGACTCAATTGAACATTGTCACAATGAAAAAGTTATATAAGGTGGGAGAAGTGAATTTCTTGGTTCAGGCCCAAACAATATTTTTCACTTAAACATCTCAAACCCCCAAGTTGCTGGACCTATAGTGTCTTGTTTTTCTTCAAGAATGACTTTGAACTGTTACCCATTCATGTTTACAACTGTGGCGTCCACACGGTAGTCCATGCGCTATCAGGAAGAGTTCGGTTGCAGCTGGGCCAGTGTCAGGAGCTATTTACGTTGACATTCCATTCATCCAGCTAAAAATAAACACACATTTTCAGTGCCTCTTTAAAATGTCAATGCTCCTGCAAACAGTGACTTAAAGCACAAACCAGCTGACAGAGACAAACAGCTGGTGAACTCTTGTTTCTGATAATGATTGAACTTTTTTTTGTTGCAGCTTTCTCCCTGGGTGCTGCTGTCTTCTGGACTAATCTTCAGTTATGCTCGGACTCTTCAGGCCCCATTGAACATGTCGTCTTCATATGCTGCCGCTATATCGGCTCTCCTTACAGCCAGCTCTTCTGATCTAACCGTCAAACCCAGTCCTCACCCCTCCCCACGCCCAGCAGGGGGTCCTAAAGCTTCCCCAAAGCCTGCCCACAGCCCTCCAGCTCTACAGAAACAACCTCATTCCCCTGAGCCTCTGAAATGTTTCGATGAGCAACAGGAGAATCCAGAAGACTACGGCATCGGTAAGCACCCAAACACCAACTCCAACACTCAGGCGGAGATCTTTTCTTTCATGTATTTCGGCAGCAGTAGCTCAGTCTGTAGGGACTTGGCTCGGGACTTCCAATCAGACCAAGTACTACCAGCATGGAGAGATGCCAGATGCCTCCTTTTTGCTCTGCCAATGTGTCCTTAAGCAAGGCACGAAACCCCCCCCATTTCTTTTACATTTTTCTTTCACTTTCACATTAAGTGTGTAACGGTCTTGTTTGTGTATTTTAGGACTTCACAGTGAATTATCTAATGTCAATTAACAACATGTCAAGGTTTTGGAATGCGGACCCAAAAGTATTACAAACAGGGAGGCAGGTGTGGGGTTCTGCACGGGTCTGATTTTCAAGACCCGCTCCCGCCCCGCACCTGCGACGTGCAATACCAAACCCGCCCCGCCACCCGCACATATTGCCAATTAGTTCCGCAAACCGACCCGACCCGTCAGCACAAGATCCGCAAACCGACCCGAACCCGCATATCCTATGAGCAGTGAAAACGTGCAATTATTAACACACGCAGTTGCGTATTTGGCTCAAAAAGCGTGGGATGTTGGTTATTTTCTCCATCTAGGATGACACCAAAAGCCTCCCAGACGTTGGATTTCGCTCTTGAGGAAGAGATATTGACAATGCTGTATTCTCCGAGCTTCGCCTCAGCCATTTCGAATGTGGCGTGCTCAGCAGCAGATTGATGCGCTGCAGAGGTTATGATTATGCGCGGTCCCACGGGGGAGAGGTCTGAGGATTTAAACATTCAATTATTATTAGGCCTATTTTAATATATTTATTATGCAACACCCGCGACCCGACCCGCATCTTCTTTGTTTTACCCAGAACCGATCCCGGAAAAAAAATGTTTGAAAAAATACCACCCGCGAATTAGGGCTGAACGATTAATCAATTTTAAATCGAAATCGCGATTTGAAATGATGCAATTATCAAATCGCAAAGCCTGCGATTTTTTTTGTTCTTCTTGTGTGCCAGTCATCCAGAAGTGCTGTGCTCCACATGTACCAGCCATTGTTAACCAATCAGAAGTGGCCCATGATAGAAGGTGACAGATTGATCCAATCACCTGCCAAGTATTTTTGAAATACTTTTCCAAATGGCTTCCAGTGGAGCTTTCCTAGATGGTTTGGTGAAACAAACCTGAGTCAGGTTAGTAATGCTCCATCACATGTTTTACATTTATTACAGGGTGAATCTGAAACTGAAGCTTGACTTTAAAGCAACCCAACGGAGGTTTCATGTAAGTTTAGTTCTTTCACTCGTAGCTCGGGCTGCGGGGTGCTAGAGACGGGAGCACGTTGATACAACCTTCCTAGCCGGAGATATGGCCGCATTTTACAATAAACTTCCGTTGGGTCGCTTAAAAACAAATATCGCAAATCGAATCGCAATCGCAATATCTGTCAGAAAAATCGCAATTAGATTATTTCCCCAAATCGTGCAGCCCTACCGCGAATCACTTTTTTTGCGGGTCACATGGGTACCCGACCCAATGCAGGACTCTGGTGTGGGGATACAAACAGAAGGCAAGCTTTTATTAAATTAAAAGCTGGTAAAACATCAAAAATGGCAGGAGCAGGCGAGGAGGAACAAAAGGAAAAGTGACAAACAAACCGGGAACACTCAGGAGACACAGGAGGGCAGACCAGGGAAATCCTAGAACTGTAAACATGCGAAAACCGGAAACTATACACACAAAAGTGAACTAAAATCATGACACAGCACAGTGAAATGGAATTTTCCCTAATTGATTAATAAACAATGTCTTCGTCTTCTCCGTTGTCTTCTTCGTTGTCTTCTTCGTTGTCTTCGTCTTCACTGTGTCGCAGGTGGTTACTACCATGTAGAGATTGGAGATATTTTTGTTGACCGTTACCAAGTGGTAAAAAAGTTGGGATGGGGCCACTTCTCTACTGTATGGCTGTGCTGGGATATGGTGTAAGTAAACATTTAAGCTTTTAATAACACCATATTTAACATGATAACATAACATAGAAATGATCTAAACATAATAGAAGCTAACTGCCATAATTGTTTGCATGCAGGAACGGGCGTTTTGTGGCTCTGAAGGTGGTGAAGAGTGCTCAAACTTTCACAGAGACGGCACTGGATGAGATCAAACTCCTGAAATGTGTCAGTGTGACCCCTATTCCTTTGTTCAACATGCATACTAGTTGTAGTCATTTTTAGAGTACTAATGCATAAGAAGTATGTCTTTGTGTACTATTAGTAAGTGTCTAGTTGCTAACAAAAAAGTGTTTGATG